GCCCTCCCGGGGGAAGGATGAGGGGCCGCCCTCACGGGGGACGGACGCCCTCCCGGGGGAAGGATGAGGGGCCGCCCTCACGGGGAAGGCGGCGACGAGCAGGCCCCGGGATGAGCACTCACTGAGAGGAGCTTCCACGTGATGGGACGCACCGGCTTCGGGATCCCGGACCAGCTGAGCCTCCGCAGCTCCTCTGTGGGCAGAAGAGACAAGGGAAACGGAGTTAGTGAGTCAGCGCCCATGCGCCGCCCCTGCCCCCACGTGCAGCCAGATGCACCTCTACGATGGGCATCCCCCGTGAGACACTCTCAGCACCGAACAGTCACTGTCACCCGGGCGCACAGCCGCTCAGAGGACGCACTTGTCAGTGCACCCGTGTCCCCGCTCCCCCTGGGACAGGCGAGGACCAGAGGTGCCAGTGCCCCCCCCTCCCGCCTCCCTCCTCCCCTCCCACCTCCCCTCCCACTGCCTTCTCTGCCTCCTGCTCGCTCTCCCCACCCCCACTGCCTTTCCCCAACTTCACACCCAATGCGGCTGTGGCTCCTCCTCTCACCCTCCGCGGGAGAACGCTGCTTCTGTCTTGGTCGCTGGGTCTGTGTGGACCCTTTGTCCGTGTCCACACGTGAGCTGGGTCTGTGGTACCAAACCCTCTTCCATGCCGGCAGGTCACAGAGTGGACAGACCTGGGAGCGGGTCTGTCCAGGAAAGTGCCCTGGAGAGGCCTGTGCGCGGCACGCATGAAGGTGTGGGTGTTGCACGCGTGAAGGTGTGGCGTGCTGCCTGCGTGAAGGTGTGGGTGCTGCACGCATGAAGGTGTGGGTGCTGCACGCACCAGGTGGGCTAAGTACACAAGTCACTCTGCCTACAAACACCCGCACGTGCGGAGGTCACGCAGGGCGGGCCGGCCACCCGGGGGCAGGGGACGGAGGGGCAGGGGACGGGCCCCTGGATCCTGCCTGACCCTCGTGTCTCCTTAAGTCCCACTCACATGCCCTGTGTGGCCAGAAACGCATTTCAATGTGCAGGTGTGTCGCCACTCGGCCCACTGCCCGAGGCAGGCATTGCTTCCCTTTAAGTCCAGAAGCACCCGACAGCTGGGAGCAGGCGATTCACACTCGGAGTAAAGACGGATAAGGAGGCAGCCCCGGTAGTTCAACCAACCAAAACAGCGCCAGCACCTCACCGTTTCCAGTTCTAAAGCCCAAGCAGAGAGCGTGGAGAGCGACTGGGCAGCAGTTCCAGCAACAACTTCACTTCACAGCCGCCTGGGAAGACCCAACCCTCCCCGGTCCCCGAGGGCCCGAATTAGACACCACGCGAGCCCGCAGGCCGGCCCTGGGGGGAGGCGGCCTTCCCGACACCGTCGGGGAAGGAGCCCAGACACCTCTGGTTCCAGGTCCCTGCAGCTGTCTCCTCAGGGACGAGACCACAGCTGGGGACCCGAGCGTAGGCCATAGGTAAGAGAAGGGTCTGACCACAGCGCCGGTGCCCAGGGAGCTGCCACAGAGGCAGCTGGCTCACCGGGCGTGCCCCTGCCGGGAGATAAGGCAGCAGCCGGCCAGGTGGCCCGGGGCTCGGGGACCCACTCCCAGGTCTGTCCACTCTGTGACCTGCCGGCATGGAAGAGGGTTTGGTACCACAGACCCAGCTCACGTGTGGACACGGACAAAGGGTCCACACAGACCCAGCGACCAAGACAGAAGCAGCTGTTCCAGGAAGGGCCCACGGGTGGGGTCACCCGGAGAGCATGGCTCCCCTGCGTGCTGACCTGGGCCGCCGGGGAAGCCACCTCACAGAGGTCAGGCCCCCTCGCCCGCCCACCTTCCCACCAGAACTCGGGGGGCACACCTCCCCCAGCACCGCTGGAGGAGGCAGGCAGAGAAGAGAGCACGTTGCTGGGCTCCTGAGAGGCCTCCTCGCTGCTGGGAACCCTCTGAGGCGCTGGGTCGGAGGTGAGGGGGGCTGCTATCCAGGAACCAGACCCGCCTCAGGGGAGGCCGAGGGAGAGAGGCCGGCAGCACCAGGAGGCAGGGGACCGGGCTCCGAGCTCAGCACCACGGCCAGACGCAAGAACCAGAAATCAACAGCCGTTCTCCACCAGCAAAAACAATGAAATAAAGCAGAGAGGTTATAGGCATAAGCTTAACGAGAAACAGACACCAGCCCACGGAGAAAGTGACCGGTTTTACTTAGACTAACAGAGGCAGGGAGCCCCTGGCCCGCTGAGCGAGCGCGACTTCAGGGCACGGCCAGGCCCAGGGCCCACCTCCCCGGGGCACAGCCAGAACCACTACAACCGCCTGCGTGTCTTTTCCTCGGAGAGATCAGTCTCTACTTTCCGTTTCCTACAACTTCTCCGTGGGGTTTGGAAGGGGCTCCTGTTGCCTGAATAACCGGCGACGAGAAGCGTCTGCCCCCTCTTCTGAAAGGCCTCTGGGGACTAGGTCGCCCCTGCTTTAAAGGTTCAGAGCTCACGAGTAACGAGCAACGCCATCTGACCTGACGCTCTCCCCTGAAGGTGTGCATGCCACTGACTCTTTAAATTGACAGGGAGATGGTAAAGCTTTGATTCCTCTTGGTCCCTCCACCAGGCCCTGCCTCTCAGGGTACGTCCATTCCATGTGCCTTCTCGAACCCTTTGGCGTAGACTTGGAATACCCGCACCCCTCCCCCCCCCCTTAGCTTTAATGTCTGTGGGTCTATAGTGATGTCTCCTCATCCCTTCCTCATACTGGGTGTTTGCTTTTTTTTTTTTTAATAAGTCTACCGACAAGTCTGTATTGATCTTCCCCAGGAACTACTGTAGACTCTGCTGAGTCGCCTTCTTCTCCACTTTCCAGTTCTCCGGTTCGTTTCCATCCTCTCTCCCTTCCCTTCTTCACCCGGTTTTGTTGAGTTTCCTCCTCTTTTCCTAGCTTCTTGAGGTGGTAGCTCTGATGCTGGATCAGAAGCCTCGACCCTCTTCTCATAGACTTCCCTCCAGGCTGTTTCAGTGCATCAGACACGTGCTGTATGCGCAGTCATCACTCAGCCCCAGTGCTCCCCAACGCTCCCTGTACCCTTTGAACGTGAGTCCTTAGAGAAGGGTGTTGACAAAGGTCCAGATACCGGAGCATTTCCTGGAATCTCGCCGTCAGCCCGACCTCTAACGGACAGTCAGGGAGAGGACCCGGTGCCCACAGTGCTGTGGTGTTCACCCCAGTCTGCCCGGTGAGGACCCGGTGCCCACAGTGCTGTGGTGTTCACCCCAGTCTGCCCGGTGACGGACGCATCCTCCCGCGCTGGCTCGCCCGG